GAGAATGGCCTGAACCCGGGAGGTGGAGCTTGCAGTGAGCCGAGATTGCGCCACTGCACTCCAGCCTGGGCGACTGAGCGAGACTCCGTCAAAAAAAAAAAAAAAAAAAGAATTCTTTCTGTTACACCTGGGTGCGGCAGGTGCCCGGCTCATCCACTCACTTGCTAGAGGCACAGGAAGAGGTTCTTCTGGTTATGAGGATGATGTATTGCGCACCTGCTGTGTGCCTGGCATAGTTCTAGGCCCTTAACATGAATCTCAACTTCCTTAACCCTCCCTGTGAGGTGGGAGGTGGGAACTGTTCTCTCCCACGTACTCCAGAGGAGGGCTCGCCCCCAGCTAGTGCCCAAAGCCAGGGTCCACACAGCGCCCCTGTGTCGGGGGAGCTCGCTGTCTCCACATCTGACCGTGCATCACCAGCTCTGCCTACTCTGGCCTCCTCCCCACCCCCGGATCTGAGTTCCCCATTATGGCCATGAGACAGGTGCAGGCGCTAACGACACGGGTTGCCCAATGCCCAGGGCCCCTGAGGGCCCCAGCTGACTGGGACCAGACCCCAGGCACTTCCTACGTGCCATCGCTTTGCCAGCTGACCTCCTGCTGTGCTCACGTGGCCTCTGGAGGTGGCATGGTTCCCGCTTTCAGAAAGAGACTGATTCGTGGTGGGATTCTGAGGCCCCCCTGGGGGGCTCCATGCCTGGCCGGGCTGCGGGCAGGGGCCGGCCTGGATGCTTCTAGACCAGGGAGCCCTCGCCCTGTAGCCGCCCAGCATCTGGGGAAGAATTCTCGAATTCCGGCCTCTGAGTCTCCGGGTTCTCAGACTTTTGGGTTGTGGCGTGGACTCCGCTTGGTTGAGTCACTGCACCCTGGTCCTAGGCACGAAGCAGGGAGTTGCGGGTCACAGCTGTCCTGCGTTAGATAACGTGCGGGCTGGGGAAATGGAGGCCAGCATGGGCTTCCTGGAGGCCACAGTGTGACGGTGGCCAGAATCACCCATCAGTCAGGGGTTCCCCAGGCTGCTTTGACGGTGCGGCCACGTGGGGAAGAAGTGGCCCGGGGTCCTGGCGTCTCATTGAGTCCCTGCCTGCCTGTCCGCCAGGTACGCGTTCACCGTGGTGGCCAACATCACCGTCTACGGCGCCGCCTGGCTCCTGCTGCACCTGCAGGGCTCGTCACGGGTGGAGCCCACCCAGGACATCGACATCGGCGACCAGCTGGGGGGCCAGGACGTGCCTATGTTCCGGGTGAGCTGGAGCCCGGGTGGGTCGCCTGAAGTCCTCAAGCCTGGGATAGGGGCTGGGCCAGCCGCCACTGACCGCTTCCGCCGGGTCCCCAGAACCTGTCCCTGCTGGTGGTGGGTGTCGGCGCCGTGTTCTCACTGCTGTTCCACCTGGGCACCCGGGAGAGGCGCCGGCCGCACGTGGAGGAGCCGGGCGAGCACACCCCCCTGTTGGCCCCCGCCGTCGCCCAGCCCCTGCTGCTCTGGAAGCACTGGCTCCGGGAGCCGGCTTTCTACCAGGTGCGTGCTGGGGGCGGCGGGGCTGGCGTGGACCTCCTCTCCCACCCACCGGGCCTTTGCTCTGTGGGGCAAGCTGCGTCCAGACACAGAGCACACGCGGCCGCTGGTGCAGCCCACACCCGGGGCAGACATCACTCATCAAGCGCCGCTCTCCTCTCCCCGGCCCACCCCACTGGGCAGTCACTACCAATGGATCAAATGCCAGCTGCAGGGCGCCCCCACCCCGGCCCCGGTGCCCCCTGCTGGTGGGAGTGGAGAAGGCCCTCCTGATCCCTGCCAGTCCCTCTGTCTGCCCACAGGTGGGCGTGCTGTACATGACCACCAGGCTCATCGTGAACCTGTCCCAGACCTACATGGCCATGTACCTCACCTACTCCCTCCACCTGCCCAAGGTGAGCGGGTTGGGGTGGGGATGCTGGGATGGGACGGCCCTAGCCTGGTGAGCCATGACTGACACGCCGTGCCTGGCTCTGCCCCCGCAGAAGTTCATTGCGACCATTCCCCTGGTGATGTACCTCAGCGGCTTCTTCTCCTCTTTCCTCATGAAGCCCATCAACAAGAGAATCGGGCGGAACGTGAGTGCACGGGGACCGGGGTGGCCGGGGCGGAGGACGGGGTGCCCTGCAGCCGAGATCCCACCCACTCCGGGTTCCAGCCTTGGATGCTTCCAGGCCTCCAAGTTCCCACCTTGTAGAAGCCCTAGATCTAGGCCGGGCATGGTGGCTCACGCCTGTCTGTGATCCCAGCACTTTGGGAGGCCAAGGCGGGCGGATCACGAGGTCAGGAGATCCTGGCCAACACGGTGAAACTCCGTCTCTACCAAAAATACAGAAACAAAATTAGCCGGGCGAGGTGGCGGGCACCTGTAGTCCCAGCTACTCGGGAGGCTGAGGCGGGAGAATGGCGTGAACCCGGGAGGCGGAGCTTGCAGTAAGCCAAGATCGTGCCACTGCACTCCAGCCTGGGCGACAGAGCGAGACTCTGTCTCAAAAAAAAAAAAGGCAGCCGGGCGTGGTGGCTCACGCCTGTAATCCCAGCACTTTGGGAGGCCGAGTTGGGTGGATCACGAGGTCAGGAGATCGAGAGCATTCTGGCTAACATGGTGAAACCCCATCTCTACTAAAAATACAAAAATTAGCCGGGCGAGGTGGCGGGCACTTGTAGTACCAGCTACTCGGGAGGCTGAGGCAGGAGAATGGCGTGAACCTGGGAGGCGGAGCTTGCAGTGAGCCGAGATCGCGCCACTGCACTCCAGCCTGGGCGACAGAGCGAGACTCCGTCTCAAAAAAAAAAAAAAAAAAAAAAGCCCCGGATCTGGGAACGAGGAATTCTGGGACCCTGGCTTCTGCGTGTCTCAAGTTCATACTCTTGCGGCTGCAGAGCTCTGGTGCTTTCTGTCCACCCTGTGCAGCTACTGAAGGCATGAAATGTGGCCGCAGGGACTGAGCCGAGTCCGTCATTTGCTTTCGTTGTAACTGACCTGCCTTTAGGCAGAGTAGCCACGTGTCTGCAGCCGCTGCGGTGTGGACAGAAAGCACAACTCCGGCATGGAGGGTCTGCTGAGCCTCGGACTTGTCCAGGGCCAGAGCCCGGGCTCCTGAGGGACCATCCAGCTCGTGCCCCTTGTTTGCTGGGGTGGAGGTAGGGGTGGCAGGTTGAAGACCAGAGAGGGCCAGCACCAGGCTTGGGGGCACCCAGTGGTACGGGCCTGACCCCGGGGCTGTCCCTACAGATGACCTACTTCTCGGGCCTCCTGGTGATCCTGGCCTTTGCTGCCTGGGTGGCGCTGGCGGAGGGGCTGGGCGTGGCCGTATACGCAGCGGCTGTGCTGCTGGGTGCTGGCTGTGCCACCATCCTCGTCACCTCGCTGGCCATGACAGCTGACCTCATCGGTCCCCACACGGTAGGGCTGGTAGCCGGGCTGGGGCTGGGGCTGGGGCTGGGGCGGCCGGGGCCTAGATCTCAGGATGCACGCTGACCACCTTGCCTGTGTCTCCACAGAACAGCGGAGCGTTCGTGTACGGCTCCATGAGCTTCTCGGATAAGGTGGCCAACGGGCTGGCAGTCATGGCCATCCAGAGCCTGCACCCTTGCCCGTGAGTGCCGCTGTTCATTCATTCATTCTTCCTTCCTTCATCCATTCTTTTGTTCAGTAAGAGGGTATTGAGCGCCTGCTGTGTGCCCAGCAGTGTTCTGGGTCTGGGCATCCAGCTGTGGACCAAAGACACCTGCCCCAATGAGAGTCATAGACCGGGGCGACCTCTCGTTTCTTCCACTGAGCACTTCATTTATTCATTCAACAAACGCTGGGTCTGTGTGTGCAGTGCTGACAACACTGTACAATAATCTATCAGGGGTGGACCGAGCTGGAAGGGAGCCCCGAGTTTGTGTAAACCAGACCCATAGAACTCAGGGTTCAGACACGGATGGTTCTAGACCATGGCATCACAGCATTCATGCCTGTAGAGGCTCAGGGCCTGGAAACCAAAGCTAGTCTGGGCCTGGGGCAGAGCCAGCCCTGTGAATAGTCACAGAGGTGAACGTGTGGTCGGGACTGGCGTGGGTGGTGTGTAAAGGTGAACGCTCAGAGAAGCCTGGCCAGCCTGGCCAGCCAGGGCAGGAAGCCAGGGAGGGCTTCTTGGAGGAGGTGACATGGACCTGACACCTGCAGGATGTCAGAGCGTTCCAGGCCAAAGCCCTGGGCGGGACCACAGCTGGCGTGTTGGAGGAACAGGGAGGAGGCCCATGTGGCTGGAGCAGAGGGAGGAGGGGAGGGCAAGGAGGGGACGGGGCAGGTCGTGCAGGGCCTGGTGGGCCATGGGGAGGACTTGGGCTTTGACCCCAAGGACAGTGGGAGCCATGGAGATCTGTGGGCAGAGGAGGGACAGGCCCTGACCCAGGCGCTCGAAGACGCCCTCTGGTGGCCGCTGCCGGGAGGAGAGCTGGTGGGGGAACAGGGTGGAGCCTGGGACCAGGGCGGAGGGGACTGGGCGGGTGCAGGTGGGCCATGCTGGAGCTGGACGTGGGGAGACAGGGACGGGGAGACGTGGTGGATTCGGGATGGACGCTGGAGGCAGGGCCGACAGGACTGGCTGAACTGTTGGGTGTGGGACAGGAGGGAGGGAGTTGCGGGGACCCCAGCTCCTGGCTTGGACAGGACGGAGCCGCCCTCGGTGGGAGGGTAGGTTCAACTGGGGTGGGGGGGTCCCGGGGTGCCTACTCAGCCCCCGCCTCCTCCCACAGCTCGGAGCTCTGCTGCAGGGCCTGCGTGAGCTTCTACCACTGGGCGATGGTGGCCGTGACGGGCGGCGTGGGCGTGGCCGCTGCCCTGTGTCTCTGCAGCCTCCTGCTGTGGCCCATCCGCCTGCGACGCTGTGAGTCCTGGTGCACCCCTCCCTCCCCAGAGACTGACCACACCGGGGTAGGGGTGGGCGTGGGCCGCACCCCACCCTCCCTAATGCCATTTCCACCCCTCCCTTGCAGGGCACCCTGACGCCCGGCCCTGATTCCTGATGGTCTCCTGCACCTGTGCAAGGGAACCGCGAGGATGTCCCCCGGGGCCTCGAGGAGAAGCCCCCACTGCCCCTCGCTCTCCTCTGGACCCCCACCCTCCATCCTCGCCCCACTCCCGGGGATGGGGTTGGGTGAGGGCAGCAGGGAGGCCCGCCAGGGCCTTGTGAATGCAGGGGCTTGCAGGGACCCCTGGGCTTTGAGGGTGCCCCATTCTCAACTCCAGCCCAGCCCTCTGGAGGATTTGGGGTGCCCCTCTCGGCAGGAAGTAGGAATCCCAGAAGGATCTGGGGGAACCCTCATCCTGAGTTCAGTCCAGTTCACCCCTCACCTCTGGCCTGGGGGTCTCCAGATGCTGCCAGGGCCCCCTCAGGACGGCTGGGACCTAGAGGAGACCCCGTCACGGGGTGGTGGGCTGGGCCTGGACCCCGCCGTGGTGGGCAGCAGGACTGCCCAGTAGGCTTGGTGGACTCTGCTGGCAGCGAATAAAGAGATGACGGCGGCCTGGCTCCTGTCTGCCTGGGGGTCCCTGGGCATCGCAGCCCTGCCCTAGTTGTGGGCAGCTGGCGAGCCCAGCATCTGCTTCTGCCCCAAGCCTCTGGTCCCCGGGACGAGGTTAGTGCCCCCTCATCTGGGTGCAGAAAGACAGTGGGTGCGTCATGGCATGCGTTTATCGGGACATGGGCATGGAGGAAGGCAGGGGCCGCTGGCAGGTGGAGGGGCAGTACGGCTCCAGACCCCACTCCCGGTAGCTCTGGGTGGTGCCAGGCGGGCGCTGGGGCGCCGACAGGGAGGGCACGTAGTCTGATGCCCTCCACAGCGGCTCCACCCCGTACCGGTTCCTGTTGATCACTGTAGATGGGACCCGGGTCACTCTGTGCCCCCACCTCCTCGCCATTGGCCAGCAAGGGGCCCCCAGACCTCCCTGGCGGTTTCACCCTGGCCTAGGTGGCCTTGTCCCCCAGGCTTCCTGGGGACCGGCCCCGCACTTGGCCTCACCATATTCCTTGCCCCGGATTGGCCTGTCTTTCCACAGCGTGCTCCCCCACCGGGTGCTGGGGACCTGGTACTGGGCAGGGATGATGGGGTCGTGCCAGGTGGTCTCCCGAAGGTGCTGGGTGTAGGCTGCGGTGGGGTGGGGGCTGGCGGTTATTCCTGTCCCCCTCCAGCAGGCCCGGTGCCCAGGGCGGGGAGGGCAGGCACTCACCCGATGGCATGCTGTGCTCACGGCGTTGGTAGCAGCCGTGCCAGCGGTTGTAGGCCTCGCGGAAGGGGTTGGCCGGGTCCAACGGCAGGTTGTGCCAGGCCTCCCGGGTGTCCGAGTTGGTCAGGCCTGTGTACCACAGCTGGCCAGCTGCGTCGCGTCCCATGGGTGTGTACTTCCAGCGTGTGGCCTGCCTGATGGCCAGTGGCCAGCGGGGACCCTCCAGGGACAGGTAGTCATCACTGAGAGTGGGCAGGGGGCAGAGACTGAGCTCGTCTCTACAGCGAGTGCTCTGACCCCTCTGCGATGTCTGCCAGGGTGGATGATGTAGAGGCCTGGCCCACGGCGTGGGGCCTTCCTCCCTCGCCACTTGGTGTCTGTCCTTCAGCCCTGGATCCCCCACCCCAGAGTGGGTGGCAGAGGAGAGAGGCTGACTCCCCTCTCCCCACACGTCCCACCCCAAGCACCCAAGTCAGCACTAAACTTTTCTGTTCTGAGCTTTTCTTGCCTGGAGAAGAGGGAGGGGAAGAGGAAGAGGGAGGGGAAGAGGAAGAGGGAGGGGAAGAGGAAGAGGGAGGGGAAGAGGAAGAGGGAGGGGAAGAGGAAGAGGGAGGGGAAGAGGAA